GGTCTCGGTCTATCGTAACTATTACTGGGGGGATCGGGTCTATCATATCCGCTAGTGGGAGGTCTTGGTCTGTTATAGTTGCTACTAGGCGGGTCTGGTCTGTCATAACCGAAACCCTGAGGTCTTGGTCTATCGTAGTGGTTATTATCAGGTCTGTCAGGTCTAGGACGTGTGGGTCTGTCATAATCATTAGGTCTCATTGGTCGTTGGTCGTAATCGTCGACAGGCGGACGAGGTCTGTAATAATCTCCAGGATAGTTGGGTCTTTGGCCATAATCATCATGTGGTCGTGGTCTGTAATATTCATGTTCAGGTCTAGGTCTGTAATAATCATCCGGTTCAGGTCTGTAATAATTATCTGGTCGTGGTATATAAGAACCATATTTTTCAGGAATTGGCCGTTGGCCGTATGGCACTTGATTACTTTCTCCCGGTCTTGAATCGTAATCATATCTGTCATATGGATGATTTAAGGCAGGTGGTCGAAATGGTGGTCTTGCATAATTATAAAGTCCTTGGCCAACTAGGATTTCGTGAACTGGGTGCAGGACCGGCTTTTGAGGCCCTGTACTAATGCTGACCATAGTTGCCACGTGACCTGTTTCTTCTTGTGGTTTACCGTAATTTGGTTTATTTGGTGAACCGTAACCATAACCAAAAGAAGATGGTTCGTTAACCGCATATGTCGGTTTATTGTAATTAGAACTAGACGGTTTGTCATAACCAGAAGTAGATGGTTTGTCGTAACTCGGGCTAGGTTGTGGTTTATCGTAACCAGTAGATGGTTTATTAGGTGATGTTCCGTAGCTGCTGCTTTGGGGTTGTCCATATTCTGTATTTTGTGGCTTACTATTACTATTATACTGATTAAAAGCCGGGTTATTTTTATCAATCACTAACGTACATCCTATTTTTTTTATATACAAATCAAACTCGGTATCAGCTTTTGTACCGATCGGTTTTAAATCGGCAGTTTCTTTGATAGTGTCATTGCTAATTTCACAACTTGAGTTGCCTTTGACACCGATTCTAAAAAAAAAACAACGTATTATTGGTTGCCTATGTTAATTAATGTACGTACCCGAAGCTAAAAGACTTGCAAAGTTCTTTTTCTTTGGTGCAAAACAACTGGCACTCGAGCACCGTCGTAACTTGAGAGGTTTTATATATGTCCTTAGGATTATGTCGTTGACCAATCGCCAAGCGTTCGTAACAATCTAAAAGTTTTTCAACGTTCAATTTTCTGTATTTTTTCTCCTTCATTAAGTTTTTTTTAATTGACATGAACCTGATTCGCGATTTTACAGTTAGCTAAATGACTGGTTTATCTTGGAATTTATTTGACGACCGAAAAAAAAATCCATTAAATATAATTTATGATGATCAAAAACAAATTCAGGATTTCAAAGTGGAACATGTGTATTTTTGCTAATTGCTGATCTTATTTTAAGCGGAAGATTTTTTTCTTCATTTCCAGAAATATAAATTGATTTTAAATAATTAAATTCTTCTTACCGTTTTTGATAACTTGAAGTTGATTGTCGATTGTTAGCGCCCTCAAAACTCCCAAAAACGCAAGACCGGTGGCCATAATCCACACGAGAGTATTTTGCGTCCTTGTAAACATTTTCAAAAATCACTTTTAATTTATTCGCAACATCACTTGCAACTACTTGAGATTTCGTCTTAAAAGATCACGATGTGCATCACTAATTCGTTTAATCGATCACTTTCTTCTCTTAATGCATCAATTGCTTGTGCGTGTTGTTGCATCAAGTTTTTGAGCACTTGTATGAGAGGAACACTCGTGTGGACGAGACGGACGAAGAAGAGGTAGCGGTGGAAGACGATGAAATGTATAAAGTCTGCTATCTGAACAATCTTTAAAGCGGTCTTCGGACTAATTTGCAGTTGGAAGAACGAAAAAAAACGCAGCGTTTCTTTGCCTATAGTCTTTTTTATGTGCGAAGGTCAAATTTTACGTGCTTCAGCTGCACCCGGAGGATTTTTCCAAATTCCAAAATGCGGCCTTTTTGAAATAATTTTTTTGTCTGTTTGTATAATGTTGCTTTGTGTGGTCGTTTTAGGTGCATAGACAACCGGTTTTGATGCATTCGGCTTTCTAGTTAAAAATTACGAGTCTTTATCTTAAGTGGTAGTTTGAAGAGCTTTATCAAAACTTGGTTCCCAACGGGGTTTTTGACACCAAAAACAAAAGCTATCTTCCTGAGAAGGTTCAATGTTATGAATAATACCAAGGTAATGAATACATTACGCTCTGTTGGTTTTGATGTTTGTTTTCGTAATTGTGGGGGTATTTTACAAGTATCTGCTTTTAATATTATGCTAGACATCTCGATTGTTGACCATCTTGGGAACCTCCCACAATTCGTGAAAAAAAGTCAAAGCGCTGATTATCATTTCGCGGAAATTCATGTAAATGAACTGTTGGGTTTTGAACTTTGTGGAAGAGTACATAGGGAGAAAATAAAAAAAAGTGAATACAAAAAAATATATATAATTTCTACTGGTGTCGCGAACAATTTATTACGTTTCGATAATATTTTTGTTGTGAAATTGCACTTAGCTGAAGAGAAACTATACAACTACAGAAAGAGATTATTAGGAGGAAAAATAAAATACTAACAAAAATATTAACAAACTGTAATAATTGTCATAGACCAACAGAAATAAAATATATATAATATATATAATATAAACAAAATGTTAGCAACATCTACACTAAAAAAATTTCACCAGCAGTATAAAGAATTCTAATAAATTAAGATAATGTACAGTTTGTAGCCCAAGGTACATGTTTTTTAAACATTTTAATTCATAATAATCATTTAACAATAGCTATACCATTACCCACTGCCAACCCTCATTTACAAAAGTGGCTATTTTTACGTAACTGCAACTCGCAAATTTGTTAACTTTACGTTAAATAAGATATCAATGAGAAAATACAATATAACGCGGAATTAGTGATATGTTTGCAAAAATATTATATTTAAAATAAAATATTGTGGAAGATTGTAATTTCTTTATTTAACAAAAAGTTAACACAAAAAGGCAAATTACACTTCGTAAAACTGTTATCATGTATGTAACACAGCCATGTCTTTATAGTAATCTCCAAAAAAATAGTTATTTCTAAAATTACATGGTTCGTTAAATACAAAAATAACCAATAGCCTCTCATGGATGTTAACCATTGTCAAAAAGGAAGAAACTACAATTATTATTAAAATATAAAATTTCTATAATACAAGAATTTTTATTAAAAAATGTGATGTTAGGTTTGTTTCACACCTACAAAGATTCTAATTACATAAATAGTTTTATAACACTGGGTTGAAAGTACTAAAGTTAAAATGAGATTTAACAATGGTTAACATGTACAAGCACGATAAAACTAACTTAAAAATTAGAACTATTCATTCTGGCATTTTTGACGGGAAATTACATAAACAAACCTAATTTTTGACATTAATACCGAGATAAATAAAGAGAGGCAAGTAGCTGCGATCGAAGTTTATTCTCCGTGTTCGTGTAATTTCCTTGCAAATCTAACAAATCTATAAATCGTAAAAGCTGAAAAAAGTCTGTATCACGATCGCAAAATTTTCATTTTATCATGGAAAAAAATATGTTCGAATCCATAATAAAACAAAATTCGTAAAACAAGAATCATATATAGTTCTATTTCATAAATACTCTATACTATTTCATATACTTTATACATATACATCTCTTTTATATATATTTTTATAAAACCATGTGTCACCAAGTAAAACTTAACTAAAAAACAACAAGTTAAAAACCAGTTCAAAACTCTACGGTGTAAGCATACAGTCTTGTCTATATTTATAATGTATTGTATTCCAACTATTTCATTACTACCAACTAAAGTGATTTCAGTATACTTACGTATTTAATGTCATAAACGCAGTCTAAGTATATATTTTTTTTTAAATACGTAAAACTAAAGAAGAGTTTCACTGACTTATAACTTGTTGGTCATATATTATATATCAATAGTGTATAACTTTAATCTTACGTGTAATTAGCGTGTTACGTTAAGTGGCAGATTACGATACGTAAATATTTCATTTAAAAAACCGCAAAAAATATACCAATCGATTTTATTCAGCACCTAGGATTCAGAACCATATAATAACACACTGCGTAGATATAATAACAAACAACAAACAATAAGTTGTACTTTGAAATCAGGGCCCGGCTTCAAAGAGCTTTTGCAGTTTTTTAAATAATACTTAGAGATCTGCAGTTGTTTATTTCTATGTCACAACAATAAATTTTATCTCATTATAACGAAATTATACTTTATATTATTTATGTATTTAAGGCCGATACATTCAGTATGAAGGAATCTGCAACAAACAAATCCGTAAAATTTTGTTTAAAAATTTTATTTGGAAGAAATGGATTATTTGTGAAATAATATACTTACAGTAGCTATGTTGCTACGGATCAGAAGATTCTGCTGAAGTTTTTCAACTGTCCACACTAAACAACTCCTTGTGAAGGGCAGGAAACTCGAGGTGTGGTGCAGATCTTTTGAGTTTTCCTAATGCATCCATGTGAAGCATACTTATCTCCCTGTAAAAATCACAATAAGTGTTTGTCTTTTAATAAAAAAAAAAAATTATTACCTTAACGTAGGTATTTTTGTAAGCAAGGCATCACAAACTGTAACATCCCCTTTTATAGGCATGCTGTGGTTTCTGTCTAGCTCAAGTCTTAAAGCTCTCACAACGGCTTGGCTAAGTCGACTGATTTCGCCGATACCTTTCAGCCCCGGCCGATCTATGGAAGAAAAAAATTAAGGTAAATAATGCATAAGTGCAGTTTTTGAAATGAGAAAGGGTGATGGTGAATGACGTATGGATACGTATACCCACCCGGAGAGAGCAAGACGCAGGCCGAATACAGAGCCAACTCAGTTTCGGTAAGTTTCAGTTCTGCTATGCTTTTGGACACTTCGAAGACGCACGTGACCAGCTTCATTTCCGCCGTATCCGACGTGAAGAAGGCGTCTTGTGGGAGCATCGTATCGCCATAGAGAACACAGTTTTGGGACAGATCCAAATAACGTGACATTCTAATAATTGCCAGTTCAAAACTACCTGTTGATAGAAAAACAGTCGAGAGCCTCATCTAAAGACGAGTGTAGAATACGCACCTGCTTTCAATAATACAATCTGATCGTCTTGGGACAATTTCATGAATCCAGGTACCATTTTAGCAAATTCAATGATTTGCTGGATGATTGTTGTGAGTTTTTGGGCGCATTCGAGCCACAACTCTTCATGGGCCATGTTCTTATAGTACAAAAGTCGGGAGAGATCATGGGGTTTCCTGAACATCTCGTGAATATGTTCAAGGGAATATAAACAAGTACGTGTATGTGCGTCTGATATTGTCTTCGATAATAATTCCGATATCTGACTTGGATCTGAAACAGAAAAAAAAGCGACTTTAACGACCTGAACGACGACGAATTCGCAACAACCATGCGAATAGTAGGCAACCAGTAAAACATGCATCACCACTTTTTGTTATGAAAAAGAGACATCAAGTCAAAATAACATCACACTCGACTGCGAATGGACTTACTAGGCAATGTGACAGGTTCACAATCGTCGCCACTTCTCTGTTGTACATTTTGTGAACTGGTCTGTTGCCTAACTGTGTTAGTTTGTTGTACTGTAGGAGAATTAACGAAAGTGGTGCTATCTACATAACTGGGTACCAAACTGTCCACAGCCACCTCCTGTTTCACAGACACCACCGTACCTCCAGACATTGTCGTACTAGAGGAGGTCTGACTGACTCGTTTAAAAGAACGAGAATCAGATATCGACAATGTTGTTTGTTTCCCGCCACCACCACCACCACCTCCTCCGCCACCACCACCACCACCACCACCACCTTCACCACTATTTGTGTTAGTATTCCCTGATAAATGATGAATTTGGTATTCACGTGCGTGAAGATACGATGATGGACCCTTACCTGTTGTTACTACGTTGGCCATTAAGCTTCCCGTGTCGTTCAGTGTGTCCAGGCCCGGCCTCGGGTCATACGCCGTTGTACTGTCCACATAATCTGCGGAGATGTCATAGCCCATTGAATTCGCTTGGACTTGGGTTGTATTCGTGTAGTAGGCGGGGGTGTACGCGCTGACATCGCTGTTGTACGTATACCTGGAAAGAAGGAAAAGGATACATTAATAACCACTACTTCCGAGTAAAATACTCAATTCTTCTACCAAGTTTTTTTTCATTAGACATGATCTAATTAAAGCAAGAGCAATTTCCTCAGTTCCTATTACACAATTTTTTTAACAATACATCATGATCATGACTACTTTGATGCCCATTAATATGAAAACGAGTATACATCATAAGCTTTTGATAAATCTAACAACAAACCAAGCGTTTATTCTTTTTCAGTTATTGAGCTGATTAGGTATATGGTGTATTATTTAATAAATACGAGTAGCGCTCTCTGTTGATCTCTACACCATTGATGTAGTCATTTAGTGTGATAAAAAAATGTTATATTTTATCTTCAAAATTTTGTTTGAAATTGCTTTTTTGTGTTTTTATATAATAATAGTAATAATACTTATTTGCTTAATATATACAAGGTGTCCCACGAGTAATAATGAGCCTGAAAAAATTTTTGAAGCAACCAACATTACATTTTAAAGATAACGTGGATTTAAAATATTTAGTTTTAATAAATTAAACATAGTGACCAAACAGTACGCTTCAACTTTAATTTATAAACAGTCAAACCTTTGAAAATTTGGTGAGGATTACTAAAATTTTGACCAGCAAGATTCTCATTTATGAAGGCTGTTTGAAAAAGGCTTTGCAGACTGCACGTTTCTATCCAGCGCGATATCCAAATAGACGGACTTTCTAAAACTAGAGCAGTCATTTTACTGATAGAAATTTGTCAAAAATAAAAATACAACTACTATGTTTAACTAATTAAAAGAAAATATTTTAATATCTGCGTTATCTTTGAAATGTAATGTTGGTTGCTTTAAAAAAAATTTCAGGTTCATTTTTACAGTAGATACAGAAGTATGATGTAAGATATTACAAATATGTATTACAGAGTAATTCAAAAGTCTCGAGTTATCTCTTGAGTGGTGATAAAGGACAACCAACTGAGTTAAAAGGCCCCATGACAAAAAATTGTTCAAACTTTTTTTCACAAGATATAGTTTTTCAAAGGTTTTAGATCTTTGGGTAAGTTTATGGCGGTTAAAATCATGTATTCTTGAATTTGGTTTGCAAAAACGGCAGATCTTGGAACATTAAACAGATACCTGTTGAAAAAAATCACAAACTAGTAAATTTTACAATAATTTAAATACGCTATCAGAAACAAAAGAGCTAAGGTGTCCTGTACAGGATAATAAAGACCCTGACCGATTTTTAGACGCAACCCAAAATACATTCTCACAGTCAACTTTGCTTTTTGTACGTTTGAAAAATTTAGTTTAATAAATTCAAATGAAAGGAATTGTTGATGTCATTAGTTACATTTGACAGTGTCAAAAATTCCACTTTCTTTTTCCCTTGAATTCAAAATGTACTCAAACGATGAAAAAACTGATATAATCTTGACAAATGCAGAATGTTACAAAATGCTATGGCTGAATTTGTACCGCCAAAAGTACACCGTAGGATTTCAAGTTATAAAAATTGCCAAAGCTATCACAAGTATCTATGTTTATACAGGATGTCCTACGAGTAATAATGAGCCTGACACAATTTTTGAAGCAACCAACATTACATTCCAAAGATAACGTGGATATTAAGATATTTAGTTTTAATAAATTAAATATAGTGACCACTTCAAGTTTTATTTATAAAATGTCAAACTTTGGAGAATTTGGTGAGAATTACTAAAAAGTTGTCAAAAAGACCAACAAGATTCTCATTTATAAAGAATGTTTAGAAAGGGCTTCGCAGACTGCACCTTCCTAAAACTGGAGTAAAGTCATTTTTTTGACTGATAGAAATTTGTCAAAAGTAAAAATACGATTACTATTTTAATTAAAACGAAATATTTTAATATCCACGTTATCTATGTTGGTTGCTTAAAAAAAAAAATTCAGGCTCATTATTACTCGTGGGACACTCTGTATCTTTGAAAAATTTCAAACAGAACATTAATTAACGCATAGTGGTATCTAAGAATGTATTTTGGGTTGCGTCTGAAAATCGATTAGGGTCTTTATTATATGTGACTCATCCTGTATGTACGATATTATGAAAATTTTCAGTTCTGTTTTTTCTCAAAAAAAAGGGCTTAAGAAAAGATTGCATTTATTTTTATGCTTAGCTGAAAATATTTCATCACCATTCGAAAGTTGACCCGACACTTTTGAATCATCCTGTATAAAGTATCACATTATAAGGCAGTTAAAAAAATGAATACAGCTAAAAATTTAAAAATAGTTTATCAAATTGTATCGAAATTTAGAATATGGTTAAAAGTAAATAAATATTTAAATTCCACTGTCTGAAATATTTATAAAATTTCCACGTTCACATGTTTTGGAGATACAAAGCTAACTTGAATAGTAAATAGATTGCTTTATTGTTAATCAAAAAAAAAAATTAATGTGCATTTAAAAAACACTCCAACTTACCCGCCATTGTAACTATGATGTAACTGATCACTACTTGAGGGTGTTTGTTGTTCGAACACTGAACTATCAGGAGCAGAATCGCTCTGCGCCCTTAACTGTGCCCTATGAAATCTGACTTCGTCTTCTACTTTTTCTCTCTGTTTCTTCGACATTCGACCGAATTTGACAGCTGGAAAAAAATAAAATAATGTTAAACAGTCTACGCTATTTTATATGTCTTGCAATTGAACAAGACTAGTTACTTTGTGTATCCCCGAGTTGGTGTTTAGAATTAAACAATAATTACAATAATTATAGCAATTAGCATCTGTCCGACTCCGTAAACACGGAATTGAACTCATTAAATGTAAGTATTCAGGAACGAAATCGTTTATTTTGTGTCGAAACTACCATTGTTAATTAACTGCAAAATGGCATATTGATCGGAACCTTTTTCGCGATATTGCTTCAAATTGAATTATTGTGTTGTGTAATTATGAAAAATAATGACCCACACTCGTTAATTCAATGGAAACAGTCGTTCTCAAAAACAAAAAAATGTGTGTTATAATGGTGGAGGCGCCGGGATAGTGTCTATTATTCTTTTCTTGGCTGTATTTTTTATAAAAGGTTTTCTTATCTCGGAAATGAATAATTTTCGCACAATTTGCGATTTATTCCGGATTTGATCATTTTGAAATCGTTGCAAATTCCGCTGAAATTCGTTCAATAACCACATTGGGAAAACAATTCGATCATGCCGCGATTTGCAAATAGTCGAGATGACCTACAAATTGAAGAAATAACTGTTCCAAAGTCTCTATTAGCCGCAAATTACAAGTTGGCGGTAGCGTCATACCGGAAAATTGATGATCCGAACCACAACTCGCCACTTAATAACCGAAAACATTGCACAAGAGAAATTTCAAACTTTTGTTTATTAAACTGCGATAGCGGGAAAATAAAAGCGTTAACTAAAACAAAAATATATTTTCTATTGTCTCAGTCACAAGTCTTTTTTTTTCTATTAGAGCATAATGAGGTAAAACTGAACAATGCAATGGCGTTTTGTTTAATAGGTTAAAAAGTGACGCAATGTGGGAAGTTAACTCGAACAATGCAAACATTATACATAGAAGAGACATTACTGTAATCCGCGCTAAATTAAGCGGCTGTTGCATGCACACATTGGATACGATACATGGTGGACGCATATGCCGTCTGCAATTGCATGGTAATTGTGGGAAAAGGGGCTTAAGGAGCCACAACTACTTAACACATTTAGTTTTGAATGTGTTTGAACGTGAAGCGTTTAAGCCGATTTGGCAGCAAATTTATCGCGTCTACTTTAGCTTCAATTGCTTATAAATGGACAAAGTCAAAAAGTGACGTCAATACCGCACAAAAGCCAGCAATGAGCACAAGGACGGAACTAGCGAGATACCAGAGCGAAAATTATCAAGTGGAATGCAGAAATTAAATTGGTTTTGTTTGAACTTATTTACAGCGAATGTGTTCCATTTATAATTTTACTAAAATTTTTGAAATTCTGACGAAAAACAAGCAATACCTTCTACAACATTTGATCAAAAAACAGGATGTACATTTAATTGCTGTTGTACAAAATCTTATTTATAACACTACCCAACAATTTTTTTATTGTGATTGATCTATTGACACCTATATCAGGGTACATTAACATGCCTAATTACGAATTTGATAAGAAAAATTCTCCATCACGTACAGATTTTAAGTTAGAGGAAAATAGTTTTCTCAAATTTTATCGTGAAAATTGTTCATAGACGGCGAAAGAAATTAATTTAGTCACTAAACAAGAATAATGTTGAAAGATGTATAAGATTCTAACATAAATCTGTTGTAGCAAAAGCTGACTATTCTTTTGTAGAGTGTCTTAACTTCCCTTATTAGGAACCAGCAGTAATCTCCCATCATATCTGGTTCCCATCACCCTTGGTACCTCTTTTCCATCGTCAATATATCCTGGTGGAACCTTTCCCCTTGCTCGTCCCCAAATTTGGGGAAAAAAATTTAAATGAGAATGGAGAAAATGAATTTTAACATTTTTTTTTAAACATTTCTTAAAATTTTTGGTGATTTTTGAAAGGCTGTATCTCATCGAAAAATAGCGTATCTAGATTTTTAAAAAAACATTCTAAGACTAAGTTTCTAGTTTTGAGATCTTTTCACAAAAAAATTTTCTGTGCAACATTATCACACAAGCGGAGGACAAAGCGCGACAAAAAAAATTGTAATTTTTTTTCGCGTTTGTTTTTGGTCACCAGACTTGGGGAATTTTTTTTAATTTAAATCAATAGATGTGCTGGATAGCCTGTTCATTCGGCTTTAGTTTTGCAAAAGAATCAAAGGAACAAAATGAATAAAAAAATTTTTTTGACTTTCTTACAATCTCGCATTAGTTTGCATAGTTATTTGCTATAAATAAAAAAAACAAAAATTTTTTTTTTTTGAAAATT